AGAGAACTTTTTAAAGAGATTAATATACTCACTGTTGCGTCTCAATATATTTATTGTAATATTTTGTATGTTAAACATAATATAAATAATTATCTAAAGAATAGTGACAGACATAAACTAAATACTAGAAATAAGGACAAACTAACTACTCCATTGTTTCGTCTACAAAAAGTAAACAGGTCGTTCATGGGGCAAAGTGTGCGCATGTATAATAAAATCCCACAGTCGATATTAAGTCTGCCACTTGATGAATTTAAACGAAAAGTTAAAAGTAAACTTATGGCTAAAGCTTATTATAGTATTGCTGAATATCTTGACGACCCCAATGTGTGGAGTTAATACTGTTGATACTCACGTAGGCTAAAACAAGACTATTATACCTGTAACATTATATTGTAAACTGACCTTTTAAAAAAGAGCAACTGTTGAGTTTCTTGCCGGTTTCTTCTCAACAGAAACTGCTTTCCGAACCGGTTGTAACTTACGAACATATTAATTTCCTTGTAAAATTTCGACGTTTCATAAGAACGCGCAAGCGTGTATGTGAATAAAGATATTTTATTATTATTATTATTAAAAAAACAGTTTCTGCTTCAGAAAATTATCACGGCCCAAAAGAAAACAGTCGGTAAAGTAGAATTAACCGGTTGGTCGTTAAAGCTGACGCTTCTACAAGCCAGGGGTTTTGGTTGAACATGAATACCGGTAGTCTCTTAGCATTGTAAAAACTGGCATTTTATTCGCCACCTAATTTGCAGACCACAGCTCAGACTACCACGATTTGCCACGCTTTTGGTCTGCCACATGAAGAATCAACTGATCGGGCAACATTCGTACGAAGTTGACGTTGGGAAACGTCGCGAGACATGACGCATTAAATGAGCTTATGCAGTCACGCTATGAAGTACTTAACGTGTAAGCGGCTGCAGAGCTACGACGCACAGTAATTGGTTTAATGAACTCCCGACGGCATTGTCGATTTATGGCGCACATTTTTCTTCTTAGTTTCTTTTTATCTAATTACCTATAAAAAGGAGTCAATTACTGAATGTAAGCGAGCTCGATAAAAAGAGACAGGGATTAAATGTGTTCGAACTTTGCACCAATTGAACTCAACCATAAGTTTATGAGACGAAATTCATTAACGTCTTCATGTGCACCGATGTTTTTTCATCGAATCTTCGGCACTATATTTCATATAGGATAATTAAGCTTTTTTGCAATTTGCTATCAAAGCTAGACGACTAGTTAACCTTTAACCACGACTTCGATTGTGTTTTTTTATTATATTAAGAACTAAACCGCTAGCCCATCCTCTAGATGACAAGAAACTTAGAAGAATTAATTTAAATTTGCCCCTTTTTGTGATACGCGATCGAAAACAGACCTCTTTCATTTCATTTATATTGATAATATACAAAACCATTTTAAAGTCATTAACTGGAAAATGATTACATCCAGATGATAGAGAGTGCACCAGTTGTTACATTGATTTGTTGCTATCATAAACATGAACTCAATATTCAATAAAACGTAGAAGTTTATCTGACACATACAACAAAGGTAATGTTATACGAAGTTTGGGATTTATAACAGAACAATGGGATGCATTCCCTTCTAAATTTTTAAACTGAATATAATAAAAACTAGATTAGAGTTAATAAGTTGAATGAACATTTAACTCTTTATACACTATGCAAAAAAAGCCTAAAGCCCTAGTGTTACTCTAAAAGCCACCCATCTTAAATGTGCTAGGTTGGTCCCAATGCCGAATAATGGAAGGTCACTAGGTTTAGGTCACTATGTACTAAATACCAAACATACAACAACCTCACTGAAGTTTGGTCTAGACTCCAAAATCAATCACCCTATGTCAACCTAGTGACAAAAGGTATGCCACCAAGCTTAAGACAGAGCTGTCGGGAAGAAGGACAGAGAAGCCTTTTTCTGTCAGCGGTGGTGATGATAATAATACCAAAATATTAATAAAAGCAAGTGCTAGTAGAACAAAGAAAATTTTCTTAATTCAAAATTTTCATTTATTTGTACTACATATATGATTATTTTTAATAAAATAGTGTTGTATATTACAGCAATATAATAACAAAGCACACAATTCAATGTCTTTCAATCACATAAACAAAACCACATAAATCAATTGTATGTTGTTGTTAATAGTATTATTAACAAGGACCCAGATCTCAACCAATTATTTTGAGGTCACACAAAAAATTACCCCATGTGGCAATTGAACCCATGAACCCCAGCACTAAAGCTTTAGCATCTGCACCACTAAGTAAGAATACAATAATATGATATCAAAAAATCACAATATACTTATAAATACAATTTTTAAAGTTAAAAAAGCCAAGTGGAAAACACAATATCCTTCTTTATGAATTGATGCTAGCAAACATTCTTAACTCAAACATTTATTTGAAACCAATTATTAAAATGAAAAATTTTAAATTAATAACAATTACATTACAATTACAATAACAATTTTTAAATGAAAAATCTGTAGTTTTGTTTATATGCCCCAAAAAAATAATAAAATGTATTTAACTTTATGAATTCTTTTTAAATGTTAGTAATTGTTGGAAATGTTTGAAATATGCATTAATATACATACATTTATATTCAAAAACTGTAATATTGTATATGTATTAATGTAATTTTGACGAAACCCTAATTTATTAAATATTATAATACTTAATTATCATAACACCAATAAAAAAAAATATATTCGAAATGGAATATTGCACTAATACCTAGATATATATTTTTTTTAATTAATCTAATACTATTTCCCGGTACTAGAAAACTGAAGCATCTTTTCTCTTTTATTTAAATATCCAACTGACATAATATTAAATAAAATGCAATATAACAAATGACAAACCATTTCTTTCGTTAAGAAGAGCGGTACGGTTATTAACTTGTCTCGACATTTCTTGCATTAATAACCAAAGTATATAATTTTATTCATTAGGTTCTACTCACTGAACTATTTTAAATTAAGTATAAACACTGTAATTCGTCGCCACGCCAATATTAGCACTGTCACTAAACCGGATAAAAATAAGAACAGGTTATTTCATTTCGTAAGTATGGCATATCGTTTAAAAAAAATCATTAAATATGTACACCAATCTAAATTAATTTAAAAACGGCTAACTATAATAATAAACGACCGCGAATAAGCGTGGTAAATCGACTTTCGTCATACGTCAAGCAATTGCAACCGTCCGCGATTAACAAATTTGAACTTTAATTGCAGATTTTATGTCAATTAATGTTAACTTAAAAACATTAGTGTATCGAAATTCGAAATTCCAGGTAAAATCAGAATTTATTACATTAAATGGAAATTAAAGCATACGTACCTTACACTGTTTAAATTTCGACAAATCCCGAAAATAATTATTAACACATTTTTTAACTTAGTTTCATTGAATATTTTTCATACAATAATTACTTCTATCTTCAACATTGATACATTTAAAAAGTTTTGTAATGAACATATTTCTTCGTTTCGTGTGCCTATTTTTTTCTTGTTAGAAGAGTAGAGCATAATATAATCTATTAGGAAATAAGATTCGGTACAGCCCACAGATCGACAAGGATGAAGGGAAATGGGAAATTGGGAAACTGTGAAACTAAAACTACAGACTCTCTATCCCAACAAAATATTACAACATTGTACAAATATAACAGCTTTGAATATTTAAACCTTATCATGGTCAATAATATAAACAAACAGATATTAATATTCTCTATTTTTGTATAATTAAATAAAAAATAGCAAAAATTAAAAGTAAGTGTTTAAATTATTTGTGTTTAAAAGAAACAAATTGGAACTATTGCCTAATTTATTCTTTTTTGAACATATTAATAGCCAAAACAGAAAAAGTAAAGCCGTGATAGCTCATTGTCCGGGCGCTCGCTTTTAATTCAATATACTCGAGCAACTTGAGTTCGATCTACGGTGCCGGCACCAAAGAAATTTTTAATTTTAAGTGCTGATTTATCACGTGCTCAACGGTGAAGGAAAACAACGGGAGGAAACTTGCATATTTTCGAAATAATAATGAAAAAATGTGTACAGGCTGTTACTTTACTTTTTTTTTACAAAATAGAAAAATTTCAACAATACTAAATGTACAACAACTACTAAACTAATGAATCAGATTATGAACTCTTATGATTTATATGATTATGACTCTTATGAAAGTAATGAACTATGCAATGTTTATATTTTGTTTTTTTTTTTAATGTATTTTAATACTTTTCGATTAAGCTTTCTAGTTTCTGTACCTGTAAGGAATTCCGAGCTTTCAAATCCTCAGTTTGTAATTTTTAATTCACGACGTGGCCCCGCATAAAAGCAGGCGTCCGCTCCGTCTTGAGTCCGAGTCCGACGCCTGCTTCGAGTCAAATTGCAATCAAAAATTTCCACTTACAATTAATGGTAAAAACCCTAAATAGATCAATATCAAACTGAAATAGGCTGTGTAACGTATGTAGTTTGGCAGTTATATGCATCCGCGATGAAATGAAGCTCTAATCTCTGCAGGCGTTCTTATTCAGATTCAGCAGAGCGGCTAGCATTTTCATGTCGTCGTCATCGTGAACCGTTGTTTCTGCTTAGTCCACGGGTCGTTTAACCGCGGATCTCTTCCGTAACGACGAAGCTGTTAAAGACGCCAGGATAACAGCAAACTACACTTACAAAAAAGCCTGGATAGTGCATGTACTGATTTTCGTCATTAGAGCAGATAGTTTGCAATGGTAGCTTTACTCTATAGTATTGTCGAGTTAGGACTAAAGGACGCGACTCCAGAGCCCTTAAACAAAAAAGAAAAAATATTGTTGATTGTTGGTTGACGTTTGTTTGTCGTATATTGATTGTTGCGCAATAAAAGTTTTGATTACTGAATACATAAATTGATTTTCAATAAAATACAGCAAACACTTAAGAAAATTCACAAGTAACAATCATGGCTTCTAATGAGTTCATGGATAAAATACGTTCGTTTTTTGGTTTGAGGGTGGAGCCGCCTCGGAACGATTTTCGCAATCCCATCTGGAGCACCGACGATGACGATGATGACGAACTATATAATAGACAGCAAATAGATGTGTTTAAGGATTCCTTAGAATTGCATAGAGAATTGACAAGGCATATGCAGGAAATGTTTTCTTCTTTCGGCAGCATGTTTGGCGATATGAAAACATTTCTTCACGACGGCGCCATAGATTCTTTCGTAACAGATCTGCCTGTACGGGAGGAACCGGAGCAATTCGTTAATTCCAGCAGTATAAGGGATTACTACCTAAAGCCTGGGTATCAAAATAATAAAAACGAACACCTTGAAGGGGATAAAGATCTGGATGGTAAAATATCATCCCACGAAATATCAGGTCTGTTGAAAAATAATGACGATCGGATCGTACCTTCCAATCGTTACGATAACGTCATATCAGGTAGGCCATTTTGTCAGACTATAATAACAACCAGTGTCACAAAACCTGATGGCTCTACTGAAACGAGGAGGATAGTAAAAAAGGGCAATGAAGTGATTGAAGAAACAATAACAACTACTGATCCGACGAGTTATAGAAATCCTAACATTTCTGATACAAGTATTATGGCATCAACAGGTATAATTCTGTCTGAATTGGGATCCTTATTTAAAAGCTTTTATTAATATCTTTTTTTTATAAAATTAATATCCATAAACATATTAGAAACTTAGATATAGTTTAATTACAATAATATTATATTTAATAAAATTATCTAGACTTCCAAATTATAAAATAAAGAAAATTGATGAAAATTTCCTGAACCAATAAAGAAACAGCATTATAATGATCTTTTTGTATTTATTATTAATTGCCATGTTCTAATAATGTTTAATTCATAAATGTATTATAAAGTATTATATTGGTCCTTAGGTCATAAATATGAATAAACCACAATCTTTGCAGTGATATCAAATTATTTATTAAATTATCAGATATTCATTAGATGCATCTTCCTCATTTTCAATCAACTTCAAATAAGAAGGAGGTTGTCAATTCGACTGTATTTTTTTTTCGTTTGTCACCTCAGAATTTTCAACCGAGTGAACCGATATTGATGACTAATATTTTTTTAAAGCTGGTGCTTCTCCTGTGGTCGCATATTAATTTCATTGGTGTTGGATCTTGGGCTCGGGAGATATATAAGGAACTCCTGAAAATCAATTATAAAATGAATACAGAGAGAGATATCTGAAGTTGTTCTTGTTTTGTTTTTTGTTAATAAAAATATTTACTTTTTTCTAATTATATGAGGGATTTCACATGATTAATTAAGGTTACACTATTTATAAGCCGCTATTGGGTACAATGTACTGTACTAAAAACCTACTAAATAATAAATAGGATGTATTTAGGGATTAAAATTGTTTTAGGTCATAAAAATTTTGGTACTGCCTTTTTAGCATTAAAACATTAAATGATCATCTGACAATGAACATCAAGGAGATTGGGAGAGAACACAATTTTTCCTACATACTACATATTATATTCAATCTATTTTATGAATATATTTTATGAACAGTAAAAAGAAATACTCCATTTTTAAACGGTTTTATTTAGCTTGACACATATGGAATTTGTTTATTTATTTGGGTCAAAATTAGAAATTGAAATTTAAGCACCTTCCCGTTGTCAGATTGATCTGAAATGTGGTACACACATTTAATTTAGATGACAATAATAATATTGTAGTTTTCAGTGCACAAAAAATGAAACATAAAATAAAACCGTTTAACTTAAAAGTTTTTAAACGGTTTTATAATATACTTAAGTTTAATGGTTCATGATTTTAAAAACAGCAATAAAATAATTCAGTTTAAAAGTTTTAAAAATGGCACCCTTTCTTGGGTAACACTCGTTTTAGATTGTGACTTAGTCATCAAAGCAATAATTAGGTAAAATATATTTGTAACATATAGTGAGATTTTGTGAGACTACTTAGTTTTATGAGGTATTATTTATTGTATTTTAACACTGATAAACTGCTTAATTAATTGCTAGTTAACATCATGTAGTATGATTGTGATCTAGAAGTGTTAACCAAATTTGTAAAATTCATTGTTTCAATTCAATAAATTCTGAATATTAGTCAATGTCTTTTTATTTTAGTGCCAAATTCTTTGTTCCTTCTTGTTGACTTTAGTTGTATATTCCTCTTCATTAAAAAATAAGTATGGCACAATAGAAAATATAGCAGTATTGTTTGAACAACACTTGAAATTTCTAAGTAAGAAGAGACTGAGGAGACAAGTTTGTGAGTTTACTGCAAAGAAGAAACCCTTTGTCATTCATGCCCCTGGTGCCACTGACTTCATTGAAATTCTTGGAGTTGACATATCGATCAGCGTTCAATTTCGCGGGTACATGGAAGAGAACCCAAACTGACCTCCAAAAAGCTTGGTGTCCTGGGCAGAGCGAGGCAGTATTTCCTGCCATCCATCGCCTGAGGCTTACAAAGCGCAAATTCGGCCACACATGGACTACGGTTCTGATATCCGGGCTGGAACACACCAGTACCAACACCGGCACTTCCTATTTGACCACATTAAACGTAAGGCTGCTCGAATCGCCTTGACTCTGACCTTGCAAAGAAATGTTTCATCTCTTTGCGGTTTTTATCGAATCTATCACGGGGAGTGCTCTGAGGAGCTGTTAGTAGTCGAACTGCCAAATATCATCGCCACCACCTCAATGGTTGGTAGTTATGACTGTGCGTTTTTCGCATACGTTTTTGCCACGCACAACCATACTGTGGAATCAGTTGTCGGCAGTCAACGGGCACGAACCACCAGGGGGCCCGCCGGCTCGATTTCCACCTTTTCCATCAAAATTAAATTATAAATTTTTATAATTATTTGTTATCAATAATAGCCTTGCATTATGAATCCGAATCATATACAATCTGGCTTATAGCTAATATTCAGAAATAAAACTGAAATTATAAAAGGAAATATTTATTCTAGGCAGTAAAATATATTTGTTTATTCAATTATACACAGTACTTATGTTAGTTCTTAAATAATCACTACAATATGCCAATAAATAATTATTTTTAAATAGTTTAAACTCGGACAAATCTTAATATAGGTAATTAAATAGTTGCTAGATGCTAATTTGACAGTCTTAAAACAATCACGTAATGAAAATTACGTCACTATTTCGATTTCTAAGTAAATTAGCTGTTGTGTGTTTGCAGGATGTTTTTATATTAATATTTTTTTATAAACTTCTCGGAGCAATAACAGGCGTCTAATGTATTGGACTTGATCCAGGTCAGGTATCTATTAACGCGACTGTACACGCCAGGTGTCCGAGGCCTTGCACACCCTTCTCCCCAGGACACAACACCTGGAAAAATATTAAATAAAAAATGTAATAAATAACACTCACTTGCTGTTGTTTTAAAATAAATTCCATCATTCGCAAGCATTCTTTGTGTATTCTTCATCATTGTTTCATAGAACATTTACACCCGAAGTAAGGTAGGACCTCAAATATAAGAGCTAATCTCTTAAAACCCAAGTGCTGTATTTTAATTTTTTTTATTGAAAAAAAGAAAATTTTACCTAATTATAATTTGAGCTTATTATATTTTTGCTTATAGCATGTTTATTATAAACTCCGGTGTTTGTATGACGCACCAATGCTGAGTACTGCAAAGTACTGGCAATAAAATTGTTTATCACCACAATCATTAGAGCTATTTATATTCATTTTATTTGTGTCAAGAAGTCTAGGTCTCAAATTCATGACGTGTACTAGTGGCAACATAAATTATTCCTTCTATCAAAACGATTACCTGAGCAATACTTTAAAACAATCGGTGTTTGTTAAATTATTTTTTTATTGGCCTTAACATAGTTTGTTTTGCGACGGTTTCATTCGCCTCATAAACTTTTTCCTTAATAAACTTTATTGATGACTGATGTGTATTATCTTTCCTCTCGTTTGCTAACAATCTGTGAGTGATATCTTGAAAAGGGGCGGAAGTGTGTAACTATAACAGGAAGCTAGTGTAGCGTGCTATTTAATTTGGCCAATGAGTGTGCGTGATCCTTGAGTTGGCCAAACTAACCCATTTTCCGAGAAGTTGGTTCTGTCTGTCAGTCATCAGGTGTGCTCATAACCTACAGTATTGTGTTTGAAGTGTGCTATTATAATAAATTTATATGTGTAAACTATATTCAAAAAAGTATTCACTGGCGATAATAAGCGCTTTTAAATAAATTTTACCGGCAAAGAAAATATGTTGCGTAGATCGATTTTATATTTCAAAATTGTTAGTTAAAGTCGATCAATCTTATATTTTACGTAATTGTGATAATTTTGCAGGCATAACTTAATATTCATAGGTACGTAGGAAGGTTAAATTAAAAATTGCACATATTCATCATATTTACCTAATGTAAAAGTGTTGAGATTTATGAAAAACAAAAACTTTTGGCACTGCGGGATTTGAATCCATCAATTTTACTATGATTTCTATCATAAAAGAGAGGTTGCGTTCGTCAGTGCGCTACCGACAGCTAGATAGCCCGTATGACGTCCAGGGGAGTGAGATAGATAGCATATCTATAAACTGGCTTACCTGAAATTCTCGTTCGATAAGAACTCATACGCCCTGTTTCTGAAACACTGATCACCGTACATGTCAACTAATCAGCTGTCAAATGGCTTTTCAAATTTTGTTGCAGTTTCCAAAAGGAAAATGGTTAAACTCACTGAATTGACTAGCATGATCTTCTTAATGATCAGAATTTTTTTTATGCGAAAAGTTGTCAAACGAGTAGACGGTTCACCTGATGTTAAGTCAATACCGCCACCCATGGACATCTGCGACACACGAGGGTTACACATGCGTTGACAACCTTTTGAAAATTGGGCTCCGGCTACCTCACTCACCAGACGAAAGGCGAAAGTATTTGTCATACTTCCACTTTACGCTGGTCTTCTGTAAGGTCGTGGTACTTACCCGGACGGGCCTGCCCATTCGTGCAACAGCCGAGGCTGCTGCGTGGCCCTACCACCGTTAATGATCAGAATGAGCAATTTAAGGAGTTTAACCAACCTTTTGGCGACTCAAATGGCATTTGAAACGCCATTTGACAACTGATTAGTCGACGTCTACGATGATCAGTGTTTCGGGAGTCGGGCGTTAGACTAAAAGGGACAGCTGATGGCACACCATGTCTTGCCCATCGACCTACCTGCCACCTGCCACGTGTTGGTGGCGTTGTTGAAGACGTGCAGGGGGCCGCCGGAGTCGCCTTGGCACGCGTCCTTCCCGCCCTCGTCGATGCCCGCGCACAGCATGTTCTCGGTTATGCGGTCCTTGTAGTTGGACATGCGGCAGTCGTCGTTCGATATTATCGGTACCGTCACCTGAAATATCGGAATTAGGCGAGCCTCTGTTACTAACGAGCTAGAACCTTAATTGGTACGGTTAAAACTACAAAGTTTCTAGTAATACCTTTAAAATGGTAGGTAACTATAGAGTATAGACACTAAGTAGTTAGGTACTATGTTCCACATTCATTAAAAAAGTCCACAGCAAAGGTTAGCCTTGTACGTAAATTAGGAACCGCTCGGTATATTCTATTCTCTTCTTCCTTTTACATTAGAAAAACGTTTCTTTCGGCTGTTTCTTCTACGTTAGAGGAACCTTATTACGAAACGGTGGTAGATTTAAACATCTATAAAAACGGCAAATAAATCATGTCTACAGTATGGGCGCCCCACGTAAACATTTTTTATTCCGTTTTTATTATTTGTTGTTATAGCGGCAATAGAAATACATAATCTGTGAAAATTTCCACTGTATTGACTATCGATAGATGATATGTACATTTCTTATTTCGATGAATAAATGATTTGATTTGGCTATGCTATATTTATGTCGATGGTTAATTCTTGAATAAATCATTTGTATGGGTTTCAATGTACCAGGAGAACTGGACGACAGCCAGAGGCGAAATGTCGACGTTTAGTTTAGTTCCTCACCTCCCTAAGGACGTTGGAGACGGAGCCGCCCTCCTCGGTGGTGCCCCAGCCGGCGACCGTGGCGTTCTGGCCCGTGAAGGAGGCGCCCTCCTCCGGTAGGCAAACGGTGCCCACACCCCGCTCCGGTTCGTCTTCGCCGTCATCGCGAAGCTTCTTGATCACCTTGCTCAAGTCCAGCTGCGAATTTGATTTCCAGAGTTCATACTAGTATCGGACAGAACGGTACGGTGATGAAACACATCGTGAGAAACCTGAATATATTCTAAAAAATAGCAAAATTAAATATTTCGAAGATATTTACGTAGAATATATACGTATGTATAATACAATATGTAGAAGTGATGACCCCGTGGCGCAGTTGCCAAGGTATTGGCTTCTACGTCGCGGTCGCGGGTTCGATTCCCACACGTGGCAACTATTTGTGTCATTACGGCTTGTATGAGTCCACTACTGAACATAGGCCTCCTCCTATAATATCGATATCGATAGACTGCTACGAAGCACGACCTTACACTCTAACAACAAACAAAACACTTCACAAAAAATACAGCCTATATAGTTATAGGTATAGATTTATTTTATTTTTAGAAAGATACGTGGTAAATGGAACAGTGTAGAAGAATGAACGATAGTCAGTATTATTAATATAAGGACAAAAGAGTGGAAACTATCACAATTCCAAGTGCAACGTACCCTCTCGTCGACTTTCAACATGGCGATGTCGTTGTCATATGTGCCGGGGTTGTACCGCGCGTGGCGTATTATGGCGGCCACTTTCCTGTCTATGGTTTTCGTCTCATTCGCAATGGTACGATCGTGCTCTAGGAATCGGACGGTAATCCGCTCCTTACGGAATCTGCAAAGGTTTAATGCCGCAATTATTATCATCATTTCGTCTCCGCAAAAACTACGCTACGAAGTAGATGTCCAGTGATCATTATTTATTCTTGTCGGCGGTGTTTTAACTAGAAGATTTGCTTCGCCGGTTTTAGTTGTGGGGAAAAATTTGAGACAAATGTGTCGTTCTCAACACGATTATAACGTGTTTTCGATGCTATGAACGTCGTTGATAAGTATCTACGGTTTAATCATCGCTCCTTACGGAATCTGCAAAGGTTTAATGCCGCAATTATGCATATCATCACGGCCTCGTGGATTTCGTCTCCGCAAAAACTACGCTACGAAGTAGATGTCCAGTGATCATTATTTATTCTTGTCGGCGGTGTTTTAACTAGAAGATTTGCTTCGCCCAATTCGCAATTCATTACCCATAAAACACATTTTTTTTTAATTGTCCATCTACGTATACTTCTATTCCAAGCCGATACTATACTAATAATTAAAAAAATGGATCCAAAATCTATTTTAATATGCAAAATTAAATAAAATAAAAAAAGTACACAAACACATGTTCTATTTTATAGGAGCAGTGATGCTGGTGATGTTGACGACTTTGATGATTTGGCGATGATGAAATATTGAAACAATTCATTACCCATAAAACACATTTTTTTTTTAATTGTAAATCTACGTATACTTCTATTCCAAGCCGATACTATACTAATAATTAAAATGGAACAAAATCTAAGAATATAAATTAAATAAAAACAAAAAAGTACACAAACACATGTTCTATTTTATAGGAGCAGTGATGCTGGTGATGTTGACGATGATGTCGATGATGCAACTACTCGGAGTGATGCAGAAATGAGCGGAATTGAGGCGCTAGGTTCCGATTAAAATTCACTTTCATGCTTAAAATAGAAAAATTTATTCGTAAATAAATTTTATTACGAAATCTGTAACGCTCCCCCTATTTAACTGGCTTGAATTGACAGCTATTACGTCACAAGATGGCGCGAGGTCAGCTCTTATTTGAACTGCATTGTATGATAGACATTCGGCATCTAACGGTGGTAGGGCCACGCAGCAGCCTCGGCTGCTGCACGAATGGGCAGGCCTGTCCGGTTAAGTACCACGACCTCACAGAAGACTAGCGTAAAGTGGAAGTATAATACGTCTGCTCGCTTGATAACTTTTCACATAAAAAAGAAATACCCGGCGGTGCAATGGGCGGCCGTCAGCACGTAGAGGTCGGAGATGAGAGAACAGCCGCAGTAGAACCGTCCCCCGTACAGCAGCACGCAGATCCAAGGGTACTCCTTCTCTTTGGTCTCCACACCGCCCACGATGCGCCGGTGGGTGCGCGCGATTCCGCATTCTGCAATCGGTAATTAGACAATATTTTTTACATTCAAGTATTACTTTATTATAATATATTTGAAAAATCACTACATAGTATAAAACAAAGTCGTCCCGCTGTCTGTCTGTCCCTATGTATGCTTAGATCTTTAAAACTACACAACGGATTTTGATCCGGTTTTTTTTACTAGATAGTGATTCAAGAGGAAGGTTTATATGTATAATACATTGCACCCGTGCGAAGCCTGAAAATTTGCTTTTATTACTGGCGTGATATTGTTTTGTCAAAATAAAGTGTCTTTTACTACAATTTTGAGTTCAACTATTTGCTCTGTGCTTATTGTTTCTCGTAGCAGGGAATAATGTCTTATATGAATTAAACTTTTGAAACCTAAGAAGAACTAAGGAAAGTAAGCGAAAACGCTGAGCGCTGAAAGACTGACAATACTCACGGCACGTGGGGCATTCTTTCGGCGGGTCGTTTGAAGGCTTGAGTGTGGTAGGCCGCGGCGTGGTCGTTCCAGCTCCTATTAGATTGTTAATCCAGTCGATGAGCCCCTTCTGCTTACCCCCTTCTGGCGCGGTATCCGACGTTTGGCAACTCGACAGCCCGACACAGACCAGGAAAAGCAATATGAGGTTCATGATTCTGAAAATAGAAACGATCGTGACGTTAGTTTGATCGTTGTAAAATCAACTAAAAAAGCTATTTATGAAGGAAAATTCTCCAAAACTACATAGTCCACCGCAGCCCCACAGCGGATTCACATATATTCGAAATGATTTTTTTATAAAAATAAAAATATATATTTCTAACATGTATTTAACAACATATGTGAAGTCTGAGGAACCGCAATGGCTTTGTGGCGGATTATGCTCCCAGATCCTCTGTAGGAGTTTGCCGTAAATTGGAACATAATTATGTATAGTTTGTTACATTACTTTTAACTATTTAGTAGATATTTATTTCAGATTTCATCCGTTCTATCCTCCAATTTGTTATAACTACTAAAGCCATAAAATGGAAGAAAACTCCAATAGCTGTCGCTACTGAAATTATCTCAAACCTCGTGGGTTAAAGCAAAGGCCATATAACTCTAATTATCTCGATTCTACATACACACTAACCTAATCCGTTTCTCTCAAAGACAATTTAAATTTCTAAACACTGGAAAAGCTTTACTTTAGTCATATAATCGAAATTATTTGATTCTTTCAATACGGCTCACTACCTCTTCCCGCTTACCACGTTTCTTAATCTTCGTCAGCCTGTTCGCCAATCTCATATCAGGCAAATTAATTATATGACCGTTGTTGGATGGTCGATCCCTCGACTAAGCGGACCACGCACAGGTCACGCACAACTTCCCCACGTGCCCCTCAAATACTTATATCGGTTTTAATTGCACAAATCAACCGTTATCAGTTCTACTTTCACCGGATTCGAAGCATTAAAAACGTCGAATACATTGTAAAAGTGCATTCCTTCCATACACGAGCGAAATAAATGTGACCCGGGAATCTTATTTTGCTTATGTTACGAGCTTAACAATATTTACGTGAATTGTGAAATTCGTACACAGATGGCGAAATAAGTAATATCTTAATTGCGGGGACAGGTAGTGTGTTACACTCCGTTGTCCGTGTACGTTTTAGGATGTTTAGTTTTAATTCTTGAAATAGAAACTTTTTTTTAGATTAGAAATTGGCCAGTACTTAACCATCCAATCCGATAGTTTGCGATGCAACCCTAGATGTTTAAGATTCAGATTATTCACTAAAAAAAAAGAAAGACAGTAATACAATTGTAAGTTAAAGATGTATTGTTTTTAGTTTTCGATATACCCACGCTAAGCTATTTTTTTTAAATAAATAAAAAATTAAAAGATTCATTAATTTTTAATTAAAAAAATCTAACTTTAAGTATTTATCTATAAAGGAACAATACAATATTTCATTTAGTTATTATTTATCATTACAAATCGATAAAATACTTTTCCTGCATAGAATTTTTTTTATAATTTATAGATAAAACTGTAGTGATTATTTTTTTTTGTACATAAAACTGTCACAAAAAGTTTAGACGTTTCCAAGATTCTAACCGGCTCCTTCTGGAATACGCGTCCAGACGCTCTTGCCACTAATCTAAACGGTCGACATCCTCGCCGCGCGAAAAGCGTAAAAACATGTGAAATTTTTATGTCGGTAATACGTTATTTACATTTTTTTCCCTCATTCCTATAAACTTAAAAAGTAATATTCGTAATCCACCTACGATAAACAAGTTACCTTCAAAGATTCGCAAACAAATTGTTCGAATAAAAATCATATTTTATTGGCGGTATTTAAGGAATCAATGGACTGGCGTTTTTCGAGGTTAATTTTAAGAACTATTATTTCAATAATTTAAATTCTAGAAGTGCGAGCAATTACCCAAATCCAAAGTTCCACTAGGAATACCGCCTAAATTATAACTTCCATGAGGAATGCCTACTACTAGGAATACCGCCTAAATTAACCATTGTACACATTATATTTTCTTCTAACAAGACATGGTCACCCTAGCCGCGGAGGATCCCGAATCAAGGACACGGCAACCGGTCGCGACGGACCGTGAACCAGTTGGATTTACCGCTATCTCGAACGCTCATCCCACCAGTTTACCGTGCCCCATATGTTTTACCACGTGCGCCGCGAATAACCATAATCATGCCATACGTAACGGGAAAGTGAATGTATTAATTCATCCTTAAATCACAAGCGTGACCCCGATTTGATTTTTAAACGTTCACTCGAAGCGGTAAATAATTCATTATTCCTTACGAATCCTTACGATGCTTATTATCTTGTGTACAACACAAATTTGGAAACCTACCCTTGGCTACTAACATCCCAAATTGTATTTAAACGCTGCATTAATAGATGACAATTATTCCTTTAAACTAGCATTTTTTTTTTTTCACTTAACATGATTCACTGTAGCATTAAATTTTTATACTTGCAAAGTTCAGCCTCAACAACTTGTTAACATAAATCCGCTTGACAATTAAGCTAGTTTAATGTAATTGATGTCTCTATGTGAGGCTGTTAGAATGTTTTATACAAGTATTACGCTGTGAGAGAGTATTTTTTTTTCTCACAAGATGGCGTCCACGTATAAACATACGAAGTAACGGACTAACGCAGGGTCGCCCGCTTACGAAATACCTTTGCATACTATTAATTCGAATAAGTCAAATAAAACGCCCGTTTTTATTACCTAAACCCTTATGCGTCTACCGAGAAACGGAAAGCCTATTGACATGCATTGTACATCGTTACTGTCGCCCGCTCTAGTGAATAGAGAGTCGACAGTTTTCCTGTTCCCCTATAATAAAGTCAAACACGTAGAAAGTAGTTCAGAGAAGACGTTACTATCACAGGTGACGCAATTATACGTCAGCTTTTAGGGCCACGTGTCAAAGTCAAGGTAGAACAAAGGGTGTGAGGGTATTGGGTAGCAGAGATTATATCACAGTTTATGGTTTATTTGCTTTTATATAACATATTTTAGTATGTTTATACAATGTCAGTATTTTAAAATTTTAGTTTTTTCAAAGTTAGATAAAGATAAGGGTGACTTAAGAAAAAAAACAAAAGAAAATGGCACTAAATAACAACTTTGTCACTGACTGCCGTAAAAATGAAATACACTACAAAAGGCGACAAGTGCCGCCATTGAGATGAGTAAAAAATATTATTAAATGATTTGACCCAGAAGAAGGTATACTTTACTCGTAACATGAAAAGTCTTTATACGTCGATTAATAAAGTGTGCTGTAAAATTAACGACACTCAACCATTTTTCTCCAACATAACGGCATTAGTGATTTATTTTAAAAATTCTTTGTATCTTGGTCAAAGATATTAAAAAAATATTGGTATATCCATGCTGAAGTATAATGATACGAATTGTCAGAACGAGTTTTGAATTGGCGAAAATGTTTGAAAAAGATTCTTTTTTAATTATTATACACGTTTACATATTTATTGAATGGTCGATTTTAAAAATGTAAAAAGTAAGTAAATAAATTTTCGCAAACAAATTAAAACGAAGAAATATAATAAAATCTTATTTAAATAAAACTGGCTGTAATGAAGTGGAACTAAACCGAAATAGATAAAAAAAAACTATGTCAAAACCTGACAGTCGCTCGTCAAAAAACCAAAGACAAATTAGCATCTGTTATCTAACACATCACAGGCACATACACAATTGCGACGGGTCGAACGCGGAAAAAAAAACAAAACTACTCACTCCACTCCGCGCGGTCGTTGATTAAGGAAGACAAACGTCGGTCGAAAGCCGCGGCGTCTTGCGCGAGACCGAACCGAGAGGGACAGAGAAAGACTGCCCACCACTTTCACTGGCTTCTGCTCCACTTTGTCCTGGCGGACTCCAAATCGGTGTGCACCTTTTTCCCGTCCGTACTCCAGTTATATGGGCGACGGGATCGTTAAAAATGACATAGCGCACTCCGTCGTTTATGGCATTATCGGTTAATTATGTAATTATTATACATTTTTACATCTCATGTGGGATCGTAATAGGCTCGCTGACATGCGATGGTTGATTGCGAAATTACCGCTTGCGCGGGTTCTGCAGGTAAATCGAACATAAATCGACAGAAATATAATAAAATCCATTAACCGGAAGTGATTCAGGTTGATTGATGTCACGTAAATTATTAGCAAATATTGTTTTCAGCTGGCTTTCATTACGATGCTATATTTTTGGCGATGGTGAGGAAAACTAAAAAGTAATATTATATCTGATCCCATTCCGATAGTCGAATTAAGACATTCGAATTAAGACAATGTTTTAATTCGACTATCGGAATGGGATGACGCGATGATGCGTTGCTAAAATAATGATAAATAACTTCTGCCTACAGAATCTTGACGAAGTAAGTGTGAAATTAAAAGAAATTTCATTAAAATTCGGTTTGTTTTAGTGTTTATAAAGTTAATATTACCAGAAGTTCACAAATATTAGATTTATCCATAGAAGAAACGGTAATTAAAACTTTGATTTGTCCTAAAGTTTACAATCTTGTATGATGCATTTTTTAAAGATAAGATAAAATTAATTGTAAGTACATTAACTTCCGTTACTGTACTTATTCATATTTTTACGTTTCGTTACAAGAGGGCAGTTTTTCTGGTGTTGTGAGATTGTCTACCACCGTTCCGCCACCGTTCTTGTTATTTCTGATGGTAATCACTGTCGCAATATAAGTAGTTTACATCGACCACGAGTATAAGACAGTGTTTCTGTGAAATACCAATTTATAATCCGCTGGGTTTCAACTCCAACTTTTGAAATCCTGTTACCTCAATAGTGACTTATTCTGCTTCGTATTAAGATGTAGCTTCTCTAATCTGTAGCGTCTCGCACTGAACCCTAGTTTTAAGAACATCTATGTTTACATTTGACCCACTTAATTAGTCACGCGCTTTGCCGGCGGCTTCTTCACTATATTTTTTTTAATTATTTATATAGCGTCCCTTAAAAGTAATTCAACAAATTGAACAATTCTTGAGTTTTTATAATTGATGGCCCTGTGGCGTAGTTGCCAAGGTATTGGCTTCGGCGTCGGGGGTCG